CAAATTTCATGCATCTGGTGAAGTGGTCTCTGCTGTACAAAAAGTTGTAATAATAATTACGTGTCATCAACTTGATCCTAATAATTATGTGTCATCAACTTGATCCTGACATGGCATCTCTTTCCAGGGTTTTCTCTGTTGAGTATTCAGAAGTCTTCTTCAAGGGATGCTCTGGCAACACTGTTCAACTTGCTTGAAGCTACACAGCCTGGCTCTTCTCCTGGGAGGGTTTTCTCTGTTGAGTATTCAGAAGTCTTGTTCAAGGGATGCTCTGGCAACACTGTCCAACTTGCTTGAAGCTACACAGTCTGGCTCTTCTCCTGGGACACACACTGGAGAATCAAATTTCCAACCTCTAGCTTTGCACTCATGTACTCTCCGAGCTATCCAGCCAGCTCTCAGCCTATAGCGTATTGTATTGATTCACTCTGCCAAACCTGTCCAGCACTGAATTCTAGTGTATTAGTACAATTAAAAGAGGAAAGTGGGAGGGGGCGGTGCCAAAATACATGGGAATCAATGTCTAAAAAACATGCCATTATGGCAAAATTTACAAATATAAATAATGTACAGAGAAATGGGAAATTTATTATTTCTTGACATTCAAGATTTAAAAGGGTTTGTACTATGACCATTGCAAGGACCGGGCCACTCAGGTGGGGTATCCGGGTTTAATAATAATCCTTTCTCTCCTTCCAATAAGGGGATGGTATCCTCCTCTCGAAAGTCCAGCTAGCCACACTCCTGGGTGGGTTCCCCTGTCTGCCATGGGGGTCTCTCGAATCCCCGCTGATGCATCTCCCATATCCTCTATTCTAATATCTCTCTCCGTTCTCTCTCAACCTTCTCTTTCTCTTCCCTTAACTTCTTCCGCCACTCCTTGGTCTCTCTCTTACCCCAGTATGATGGCTTGGGGGTGAGTTCTCTCCTTTTCCATGCATACGCCTCTTCCTTCGGGACCCTCAGCTTTTCCACCTTCCCCGTCCAAGGGTCTTCTGCCCATATCCATTCCCAAGCCCCTGGCAACTCCCCTTCCCCACTTTTTATATCTCCCAACCCCACCTCCACTACTTCCCACACTTTTTCTCCCGCGCCCGCCAAGAAAGTCCCGGTCTCTTTAACCATTAGTTCATTTAAATCTTTCTCTAGGTTCCCCGGGTCTGGTCCGGGTGGTCTTGTCTTCCTGGGTGGGGGAACTGGCGGGGTCTTTCTTTCTCAGCGGTTGGCAGGAGGGACGGCACTCCCGTGAGAGGGGCCTCTCTCTCACTTCTGGTCTTACATTCAGCCTCAAAATAACCCTATGAGACAATTGTTTTAGAAGACAGCCAGTTCTCTACTTCCGTCCTGCTCCAGTGTTTCCATTTACTGTACATCCTGCCTGAGCTGATGTGTGATGGAATAGGAGATGAAATGCAGTGGTAAGAAATATGGATACATAATGCCATCATTCCTTTAGTTTCCACTCTTTCCCAGCACTTCTCATTCCTCAGGACACTGGACTTGAAGCACTGTAGGGCCAGAATACCACTGAAAGAAGTAACAGGTAGACACATTTCGGAGGCGCGTAATTGTGGGATTGTGTCTTCTCTGGCAGCTCCCTACTCCAGATTATGCTGACCTTGGAACAATTTCAGCCTGCCACAGGAAGGAGAGAGGAGTCAGCAATATCCCTAAGATGTGATGAGGACTGTTTTCTCGTTGCCAAAGCAAAGTAACCAAGAATGTTTTGAGCAGTGGTTCCCAACTTTGAGTCCCAAGACGTTCTTGGACGACAACTCTCAGAAATCCTGGTCAGCACAGCTAGTAGTGAAGATTTTGGGGAGTTTTAGTTCAGTAACATCTGGAGACCATAGGAACTACTGGGTTAGAGACAATTTTGGTTCCTGCTAGGCAAAGGTAGGGAATGTGGCCTTCCAGATGTTCTTGGATCACAGAACTCTTCATCTCTATCCTCTCTAACCACAGAGAATTCCAGTTCAACAACAACTGAAGGGCAATACATTCTGCGTCCATGCTTTAAGACACCTTTAGCACACAAGTCTTTGTGACTGGATTTTTAAAAAATTAAAGTCTATGTTTCTAACGGGTTATAGCATTAACTGTTATGCCTGTAATTCCAACTTGAATTAGTTACTAGACATTATAGCTCAGTGGTATCAGGCTGCTGAGCCAGAGGCTGGGAGTTCCATTTCCCACTGTGCCTCCTAGACAGGGGCTGGACTTGATGATCCGCAATTCTAACCTTATTATTACATCTAATTGCTATATAATTCAGGGACTGAAGAGTAGAATCTTGTACTGCATACTTAGGAGTTCCACTGAACTCAGTGGCTGAAACCTTGTTGGCATAAATTTATGCTGCGCACACCCGACAACATCAACACTTGATAACAGACATATTTCATTAAATTAAAAACTTCATAACCCCTACTCCAGGTCTTCAGGCTCTCTAGGGATCCCTTTTGCTCTCAGGAAGCCTTTGAGAGACTTAGGACAGTGGAAGCTGTTAGTAATGGAAAATCACCAGATTGCAACTGACAGTCACCCATTTGCACTGGCCAAATTCAGCAATAACAGGTTTTTAAGTTTGGAAAGGGCCCTGTTATGTCTGAAATGTAGGTTAAAAGCCTGTCAGAAAAAACAAAGGTGACAGGTCTAACTGAGCACCACAAAATATGGTTGAATATACTACAATTCAAAGGTAGATTTTAAAGAGCTACATTCTCAAAAGTGCTGTCTGGATGTGTGAATATCTGCTCATTTTGCTTTCTTCCCCATTCAGTTAAACACATACACACAGAGAGATAAGTTCTTTCCATTTCATTTTGCTTTCTTCCCCATTCAGTTAAACGCATACATACAGAGAGACACTTAAGTTCTTTCCATTGTGCTTCTGAAATAATTTGTGAATTTTGGAAATTGTTATCTAAAAATGACCCAAACAAAACTCTCACTCTTCCCTATTCTAGGTAGCCAATAAAGAAGCTGTGTGAAAAATGGGTCTTTCGTCTACCTACAAATGACCAGTAAATGTATATGTGAATTAACAAGGCAATGCATTTATTCTGTAGGACCTTATTTTTAGGAGACTTGATTAATGCAGAAAGGGATAATAAATATGGTATGCATGCATAGACAAAACAAAGGTAGAGTCTGCCAGGAAGATTACTGGCCTGAATAGAGGTTTGGAACTTATCCTGGGTAGAGTGGCCTGTACTCCACCAAGAAGCCAAGTATTCAACTTGATTGTTCTTCAGATAACTTTAGTGCCTAGGAGTGTTTTTTACTAACTTAGATGTTCTCTCTGAAGCTCTGTCTCAAGAAAGTACGTTTAATCTCAGTTATAGAAGCCTGGTTGCCCTGTAATGCTCTCCAGATAGGGCTACCTTCTCATCTTCCAGATACTTGTGAGAACCAAGTACGGTATTAGGCTCATGCTGCAGATCAATTTGTTATCTGTTGCAATGGCTGTAGACAGGAAAGTTTTCTTTTGGTGATGCATAACTTCCTTTTGGATGACGTATAGGTAGCCATATCAATACTATTCTTTTTTGGACTCAGTTTAAAAAGTTGATACAACCTACATGTGCTTGAGTCACAAAACCAACTTCAAAGATCCTGGTCTCTGATCCTCAAATCCACACTAAAAAACAAGAGACAGATGGGGGGGGCAGACAGAACATTCCAGTAGTAAACCCACATTTTAGAGCTCTTTCTTCTGTCATCATTTCTGACTTTTAAGTAGATTCTAAAAATGTTATTATTGAAAAATCAGCTGATTATTAGTCTTCATGATTTAGCTATCATCTGAACTGTTAATTTACTGATACGTCTGACTTTTAAGTAGATTCTAAAAATGTTAATGAAAAATCAGCTGATTTTTATTATTTTGTTTTCATGCTTTACCTATCATCTGAGCTGTTAATTTACTGATACGTTTTAGCAAGAATATAAGAGCTATACTGCATCAGATCAAAAGTCTACTTAGTCTAGCACTCTGTTCACATATAAGCCAAACAGTTGCTCTCTGTGTGTAAAGTGCCATCAGGTTGTTTCGAATTCTAGTGACCCTAAAAGTGTTTTCAAGATATGTGAAGTATTTAAGCAGTGGGCTTAACACTTCCACACCCAAATAGTCTCCATAGCCAAGTGAAGATTTGAAATACAGGTCTTCTGAGCCATTGTCCAACACACCACAACGGTACCTATAGTGTTTCAAAGTATTGTCAACTGCCACAATTGTCACACATAAGAAACAACATACAAGAGTGTGTGGATGCATCAAGAGGTTAGTATTTGACTTCAACTTGGGTAAAATGTTTATTTTGTATATGAAGCCCTCCAAACAGTAGACTACTTTTCATTTCATGTCCTTTCTTTTTCTGCATTTTTTTTTTGAAATATTGGATAGATTGGAGGCTGAAGAGATCTGAAATACCAGGGGGGTCGGGGTGCTCCCTTCTCTCTTCCTTCTCCATGTGGCTATGCCTGGGCACTTTACACATGCTCAAAATATTTATTCACTTGCCATGATCCTGACTTCTCTTCAGCCACTATAGTTTAAAAGCGGGGTGTCCCTAGTTAGGTCTCAAGAAGCTGCAACCTTTTCGGCTTTCACAACATACCCTTATTGCTCTGCTCTTCCCACCTTTCTTTGGCTTAAAAAAATTATAGGGGAGTCTTGGAAAGCTCCAAAAGCCGGCGGTCACATATTTTGTGACACCTAAGGGGGGGAAAAACATCTTATTTCCCGCTTTCCCACAAGGTCCCACGCGCAGCTCTTTTCACTATTTCTCGAAACGGCTGGAAGAAAGAAGAGGGCGAAGAGTAAACAAGACAGCCAAGCGTCGGAAGCCTTTCGGCGGCGTCTCCCGGCGCGGCAGGCGGGCGAGAGGGCGGGCGGACGCGGCGCCTAGGCCCTCACCCAGCTCCGCCTCATCCTCTCTCGTCCCAAACCCCCCCCCGCCACTCCCCCCCTCCGGCCTTGAGGACGTGTGTCTTCCAACGTGCTGAAGGGAGGGGAAGTAAACAAGGCCCGCACTCTCTCTCTCTCCCCCGCCCCCCATTTCTGCCAGGCCTCCAGTACTTTCCAGGAGAATCTGGGCCCAGAAAAGACAGAGAGCGAGAGCGCGCCCGCGCGGGGGCGCGCGCGTGTGAAGGAGGGAGGAGGAACCAGAGAGGGACGACGACGGCGCCGCCCACAGCTGTGGCGCAGCAGGAATTTGCGCTTCGGCGTGGCCTCAGGGGAGGGGAGGGGGGGAGAGAGTGGCAGGGCCCCCGGGGGCAGAGGAGGGGTCTCGCTGACCCGGCTGACTCTTGGCCGCCGTGAGACGCAACGAGGGCGGCGGCGGCGGCAGCAGGAGGTCGACGCGAGGGTGATGCCGGTGTTTATTTTTACCCGAGCGCCTCATCCTTCCTGGCTGCCTGTGAGGAGGGGCGGCGGCGGCCCCCGTGGTCGCTCTCTGGCCCGGCCCCTGCGGCCTTCCTCGGGCTGCTGTGAGCGCCACAGCAGCCTATAAAGAGCCGAGGATGCAGCTCTACAGCACCATCGTCACGCATTACCCGGCGTCGTCGGCAGCAGCAGCAGCCGCAGCAGCAGCGGGAGGAGGAGGAGGCGGTAGCAGCAGCACAGCGGCGAACGGGCCGGGCGTCGTCTTCAAAGTCTCCCCATCCCCGGAGCCTGTGGGACAAAGCCCGGTGGGAGTCGAGAGCGACGCGGGAGGTGGAGGTGGCGGCGGCGGCGGGACGCCAAGCGCAGTGGCAGCGGGAACCTCCAACGCCATGCCGGCCTTTTCCTGCTTGGAGTTGCTGCCCCCGGCCGGGCCCGCGCCCAGGAAGCCGCAGCAGCCGTTGCCGGTGCAGTGCTACGGCCCCGGCGCGCAGATGATCCGCCGCAGGCCGTTGGAAAGAGTCGTGCCCATCCGGTTGGTGTCGCGCCCGGAGCCCTTCTGCGCCACCGCGGAGGAGCTGGCCTC